TATACCTGTCGATACCAGAACAACTGACTACAGCAGAATACATAATCAGTCAGTAGTGGCAGTACTAGCAGCCAAAATGGTAGTACTAAAAGGCTTGATTTTCGTAATAGTATTATTTTTGGTAATGTTGGTGATTGTGCCGGTGAGGGGAGGGGGGGTTGAGAATAATTAAATAATTGCATTTTAAACATAGAACAGATAAACAGGTAAGGAGTCGGATTCGTCAAACGTTTTTCAGTAGCAAGGCATATGTATAGAGTGAGGACTTGTTAACTGCGATTTGATGCAAATGTGCCACACAATTCCTGCATTCCATCTACAAAAAGCAGCTAACTTCCTACTTTATTTTGCCATGTAAAACGATTCACTCATGTGCCAGGCTAAATCAGGATGAAAACCGTTTTAATTCCGCATCCAAAAGCCACATATTCGACTTTCATGGAAAGACGGCATAAAAGGCCGGGAGCCGACGTTACGGCAGAGTAATGAATCAGTTTCGGCCCAGGCCAGAGACAGGGAGGTGAAGTGTGCCTGTGGGGAACAGCATGCAAATGTCTCATCCAAGTTTGTCAACACTGACCCTCTTACGCGACACTCCGCTTGTACAAGCAACCGATGCGGCAGTGGCGTCTGTACTTCAAAACATCGACTTATACAGCGGTGTGTGTACACGTGTAATGGGAAAAGCGGACAGTGTTGTTTTGAGGCTGTGAGGTTGACTGATGAGAGATGGAAAGCCAGCGGCGAGGTCAAAGTCACTTTTCATGACAAATTGCTGGTAGGATGTAACGGTCGGGTTTTGCAGAACAGAACAGAAAACCAGGAAGAACAATGCCTACGGAGTTTTTTTCCCTCTGTCTGCTCTTCTTGCTCAGTTCCACTTACTGACTCGTGTCAATTACCATCGCCAAAAAGCCAGGCACAAGAGTAATACATACGTGATTATGCTACTTTGAATCAGTGAGTAGCCATGTATGTTTATTTTACGAAGCAGCCGTAGTCTGTAATTGTTAATGACCTTTTTAAATGTTCTGCTGTACCAATACATTTCTTGGCTGCTGTGTTCTTATAGGGAGTTGAAAGGTAGTTGCCTATATTTCCCCTAATATACCTAACCTGACCTATCACAGGGCGACTGGAGTCGGACAAACTGCGAATAGAGACAAAGAGTCGACGCCATGGCACTTGTTGGAATGCCTCGTGAATTTATCAGCAAGCAACAAGGGTGAAATCCATCGGGATACGATGCTACCATGACAAAAAGTCTGTTTTTGTTGTATTCGGAAACTTAAAGTGAATTCGGAGAAGACAATGCGGTAACTGTTCCAGTGGTCGCATCTCCTTCTTCTGAACTGCTTCCTGGAACTCACATATTCACCTCTATTGGCAATGTGATAACGGATTAGAGGGCTGTATGTCAAAAGGGACAACCCATATAATATTGGAGATAAAGCTAATGAAAGAAGTAGCACGGTTCAAGAAATATTACTATGAACAGATAGGAAAAATCCACTTAAGAGGCTATCTTCACCTGCTAACAGAAAGCGGCTCTATGCAACCGAAGAAACAGAATAGAGCAGGGTAAGGATTCCGTATAATTAACACCGCACCTTACTATACATAACTAACCACTTATTTCTTTGTAGCAAGTCTGTTTTTTTGTGTATTTATTCAGCATTTTTCCCTCCATTGCATTCCTCGCACGGAAATCTATAGCGTGCTACGGTTACTTTTAATTTTATTAATTTTAGTAGGCAGATAGGCACGCACCACTGCAACAACCTTTCGCATGCTTGGCCAAGAATAGTCCCCCTCGACTCGAGCGGTGGAACACGTACACCTGGACACAAAGGTCTTGATCTCTGTCCCACAAGCCTGCGATACTACCAACGCACAGACGCACTTAAGACACTTTAAACTCGCTGTAACTGGCTTGAAACGTCTGAAACCATGGGCA